CAATTTGCTTCTCCTGAAGATGCTAACCTTGTTAGCGAAACGCGCGTCGAGTGCAAAAATATCATTTTGGTGTTAGGGTAATTGATCTCTAGAAAAAGTTTTCAAAAATCGGTTTGCAAAACTACTCACTACCTCACCTAACCCCACGAACACACGGCACTGATAAAGAAATATTGTGAAACGACAAAAATTAGTATTCAGCCAGTCCAGCTAGCCGAGCCTTTACTCCTCAACTACATTTGATAGCACGTTTACTATTTATCTGGGCGACTAGGGGCCATAGGCAAGAAATGTTTATGACTGTATTCTTATTTTTTTTTCCGTTCCAATTGGGAATGGATAGACTATACTTATTTCCTAGCTCTGATAGGCCATCTAGATCCCTGTTGTTAACTTGTCTAACTAATCTCAATGAACCAAAGTCTATCGAATGGTTTGGTTGTAAAACATAATAGGCGACTGCTGATTTTTCTGGTCGTCCATATTTAAGGTTTGCTAAGAGTTCCTTAGATCTCATTTCGAGAGATCTTTCAGATCTATTAATGGATATATTAAGACAATCAAGACCCAGGTACCTAGCAGAGGTATCTATGGTACAAATAAAGGCAACATCGTATGTAGATTTACTTTGTTTTAGTTTGAAGAAGTTTTACTTTAAAGGATAGCTAGATCGTGGTGAAATGAATCAAAATAAGATAATGCATCATTAAACCCTCTTCTACCCGTGAAGACCCTCCTCACAACATTGTTCAATTTATTTATCTTCAAAGTATCACAATTTCGTGGAAAACTATAAACTTTCATGAAACCCAGGTTTTTCATTGAATCGAGTTATATACATGCAAAGCGATCAAAACTGTTGAAAAAGTTATTGAGTAATTAATTTCCCTCAAAAACATACCGTCTTTTACAGCTGGAGCCTGCGGGCGTCAAACTCAAATTTCCATTTTCGCATTGAGATGAATCGATTAGACGTCGAATCCAAACTCAATCAACCTTTTGGTTGAAAATACCATAAAAAATCACAATTTCAATTGAACATCTGGATTAATCTAACTAAAATAATAAATATTTCGAAGGTGAGTGGTTAAAGTTTCGTGTCGATTTGTGAACAAGAATTGAGTATACAGAATTTCAAAAAGTTGTTGAAAATAATGACAAATGGTCAAATGCTGAGGTTTCTGATATAGTTGATTAGCTTTTTGAAGGTTATATCTAAGACTCCAGAGAGCAGAAATGTCAAATGTTATTGAAGTTTCCACAATACTATTACAAACAAGTTTCCTATCCTTCTTGAAGCTTCAAGAGAGCCTATAGAAGTGTTTTTATTCCATCAAACTAGAATTCAGATTTCGATTTTTAATTCTTGTCATTTGAGATTTCTCCACACTCTGTTCAGGCAGAGCTGGTATATTCAGGCACATGTTCGGCTAGCGTAGATTCAAAAAACTCATTTGACTCAAGTTTTGTCTCTTTCTAACTGATACAGTCAATCCAGATACGTAGAAGAAGGAATGAGTTTCAAATAATCAAATAACTGAGAATTAGAAATCTTGGTCATTATCGTCAATAAATTTGTCTTCATTTCTATACAGCAAAGGGTTAGAATTTTTCAAAAAAAACCTCATAGCCTCAATAAATATTTTCTGAACTCAAGTTGTTGCGAATGTTCATTTGATATCCATCTAAATATGTTCATATTCTGTGTTGGAAATGACGGGGTCCGATATACAAAAATCGGAAACCATGAGAGATACAGAGTCGAGATACAAAAAAAATTATGTAAAAAAACAGCCTGCGATTTATGGATGTCATGAAATGTGTCTTACCTGATGGTTTGGTAATTTATTCGTATTCTTGAACGCTAGGAGAGAAATCAAATATCACCATAAACAGGTAGTGAAATTCTAACCTCACACTCTCAACGGGAACACATTTCAAACTGAAATCAGGGCCGTTCAGGGACTTTTTGAGGTACGAAATTCTGTACCAGACATTGTTGCAGATATATTACAACATACGCGAACACTTCCGCTTATTGTAATAGAAACTTACAACTGATTGAACGGTATGTTGCATTTCTGCAACAGAATGCAATGAAGGGTTAAGTATTCATGCATTAATTTCATTATCCCAAATTTAAATTTTTTGAGTTGAACCGTTCAAAAAATAAAAGGGGGAACATTAAAGGTATGCATCTTTCAATTCAGATATAAGAGATTGTAGTGAGACCACTTCTCTTTCTCCCACTGCTTGGTACATTTGGATCTTTTTTCTTCTTCCTTGTAAAACCACCAAACTCATCTAATACAACAATAGTAGCTGAACTCTTCAAAAAACTCATCCCAACTGCTAGAATGAAACTGATGAAATGGCGAACCGTTCTTCACATTTCCCTCCACCAGTCATATACACATGGAAACCAGGTTCTAATGTGTGTTTGCCGCTTTACTCTTCTGCTTCTTCAGCAACTGAGTTACCATTTGTAAAACATCTTCAGTAATTCAATTTTTCAATGCCTTCAATATTGTTTGAAGAAATATATCAACTCACAAGTTTTAGATTTTAGTAAATAGCCACCTCTTGTTGATCAGGAAGAATCCATAGACCACTATATGATAAATAATACATTCACATAAACCAGTTCTGCAGTAACAAACAATTGTGTTTACCTACCCAGTGAGAAACATAACCTCACAAATTGTTTTTAATCCCAGAGAGCCCTGAGGTGGACCAAATCTATCAAGTTCTGAAACAAGCAACGGAAATATCGAACAGCAAACTGCGGGTTAACGTGGAGATTGTTACTCCCGTTGATAAAAGTGCTCCGGGTTCAAATGCCGGCAGCTCTGGGAGTTCAGGTCAAAGTTTGAACCGTAGGGGACCTCCTCCCCAACCAAGAGCTGCAGGCTCAATGTTAGCTGTTATTAATCCCGCTCCTTGCTCCACCAGCTCAGGTTTGTAGGGAATGACTCAGTTTCTGTTTATTTCACATTACGAAAAGTTGAAGATGCAAAGATGTATCAAATGCCTTAGATTTTGTTCGATCAAGGTTACTGTTTGTTCCTCCATATTGTTCATTATATAATTCAATAATTGGTGACGGGATTTTCTATAAGGCCCTGACTTTTGTCGTCCTCATGCAGTGTAATTACTATCATCACGTGCCATCAACTTGAGCTTTGATTGGCTTTCATTATTACCAAGTATTATAATAAAACAAAATCTACCGACAGTATGCTACACGACTAGAACAACCTCAACAGCTATACTATATTTTATATCAGTCCAATAGTCATTGGACCTCAACTAGGGTTCCAATGATACACACAATGACACAAGATGTCCCTCTGGATGCTTTTGTCTGCCAGATCAATATAATTCTCTCAGGGTCGTTAGGGGGGCTATGAGGGGTCATTTCTCAAGATTCTTAAGGGGTTTTGAGGAAACTGTGGCACAGTAGGAATATTTAATATTATTTTTTCACCACAAATGAACTCATTCATTGATTGGTAAATGGAAATGTTAGTCATAAAGTACCACAAATTATACCTTCTGCTGCTGGATAATGATAAATTCTGCATAAATCACAAAAAAAGTGTTGAGTTAATTTTTGTGTAGTGTGTATTATAAATGGTCCTATTAGAGAAACTGAATGAAGAAAACAAAGTATGAATTATTATGCCTTGTTATGTAGTGAGATGAACTCAACAAAAAAGCAGAAAGCCTCATTCGCAGAAATTTTGTAATTTTGGAGCAGTCTAAGAGTTATTTTGATTATATTAAAAATGACGACTTATATACAGGGCTTTTCATGATGAGCGTTAATTAGCCGTTTCTGGCAAACTATTCAACGGATCAACCTGAAAATTCCACTGTAAGCATAAGTCAATATGTCCTACACGCCTAAAATATTTTAGACGAAGCGGCGTTGTCGCTTCTACTATAAAGTAGCGGCTGCTTTGATTTTTCGAATGGAATACCCCGTATATAATATCATGTCATGATTCATTATCACTTCGTCAACAAATTCATATACTATTTTCCTATACCTATCTATTACCGTTTAGAAGATATAAATCAATTTCGATATTTTTTTACCAAACATGAACTTTTATAAATGCTGATAATCTTGAACTCTCTTGCACTAAAACGATCAAATTTGAAATGGAGTGGAGTGATACTATGAGGATCTTCACTCCGAGTCATATTTTCATTTGCCTCA